GAGCAGCAGCAATAAAAACTGACCCTAAAAACCAGGGAGAGATCCCTGAGACAGAGCTCTGAAAGTCATGGTCAGGGCTGGAGGGGCAGCAGCTGCTCTGGGCTCTGGGGGTGATGCTCACGAGTGAATTTGTGCCCCCAGACTTGTGATGGCAAAGATTTAATTCCAGCTGTGGTGCCCAAAGGTTTCATGGCTGAATTTCAGCATCCAGATGTGCCTGGGAAGCTGCCTCAAAACAACCTGGATATTGTAAATCCCAGAGCCTCCATCCAGGATTTGGTAACAAAGCAGAGGATGTATTCAGTTCCAGAAAAAATGGTTTTTGCCTCAACAGCAACAATTTTCCAGGATCTTTTTCTCTCACTGCATTTCAGCACCATCTTAAGACCATTATGCAAAAATAGAAACACTCCTTTACTCATATTTTTATCCTCTCCACAATATTTTTAGAGAAATGTGAGGCTGACATAACGCAGAGTCAGAGAGTGAGATTCTGTTACAAGTTTTATTCTTCTGTGCCTGAAACCCAGTCACAACCGAAGAATGTTGGGGAAACATTCAGCTCTGCTCTGGGCTGATTTCAAAATGGAATTATTCCTTTTTCTCCTGGAATGATTGCCTACCTGCCTGCCTTGTGGGCAATCGGCATAATCCTGTTTAGTTGCCTCTCAGCAAGAGGAAAAATTAAAGCACAGTTCTGCTCCAGTGGATTCATCTTCTGGAGCTTTGAGTGGCAAGGAGCTCCCTGTGGTAAGGACAGAGAGGAGCAAAAAGTTGTAAATTACTCTCTTTTTGCTGTTTTTTTGGATAGCTCTTTACTTTTGAGGGATGGGGGAACCTTCATTAAGTTTCAAAGGGAGTCCACTGGTCATCGATGCTTCAGAGGCAATTTTGGGGAATAAATCTGCCGAGTGTGGGTCTGGCAGTGCAGCTCCATGTGCAGAGAATGTGGTTCCTCAGAGCTTTCACATGTGCTTGAACATTCCTGCCAGGCATATTTATACTTTTTAAAATCAAAGCAGACTGAGGGATGGATTTTTTCAATTAAAACAATCCTTTATTGCTTGCTACCATGAGACACCCTCTTGTTTTAGTCTCTTCTATGCTAATTTAGCACACACTGGTTTTACACTTGCATTAATGCACATGATGTAATGGCGAGGCTTGGAATAAATATTATTATAAATAAAAGCAGCAACTAGAACAGCTGTTCTTTTAAAATAGGCAGGTATTAGTGATGCTGATGTCTGTTATTTAGAGGCACTGGGTGATGGAAGTGCTTTAAATACCTTTTAATTTTAAATTGAAGCAGAAACCAGTGACACCATGGGAAGAGAGGAAGAGAACAGTCAATTAATCCTCATGTACTCTTTACATCCCTCTTAATCTCTGTGACTCTGCTCAGCTGAGAATCCCTTTCTCCTCTGAACTGAAGCACCAGAGTTGACTGGGTAGGTTAAAAATATTAAAATGAGACATTTCCTGCACAGTGGCAGCGTGCAAAGGTTTTACACATGGAAGCGTGCGTGCTAAATGTGACATTTTAGCTTCAAAGCTGGAAAATTTCCTGCATTCCCACAAGTGCCAGGTGACTTCCAGGAATGCCAGCAGCTGGGTGACATGTGAGCTGTGAGTCAGGGTGACAGAGCAGGGCCGTGAGGTGGAACAGCCTTTTTTTGGCTATTTCCATGACTAACAGCTCCACATCCTCATCCTCCCAGCCCTGGGCAGGGAACCTCCCCCTGGCCGTGGGAAGCAGAAATTTGGGAGAAATCCAGGTCAGGCTCAGGAGTGGACGTGGAGCAGAGCTTTGGAGTGCTCAGATTCCCAATTTCTGGGCTGTAATTTCACCTCTGCAGTTCTGATGACTTCACCCTCGTGCCTCTGCTTGATGTCACCACCGGAGCACAGGAATATCTTTGTGAGCCACGTTGTCTAAACAAGGAAAGGGAGATACTCTTGCTTTTCTTCTATATTAAGATTTTTAAAAATAATCCGTGGCAAAGAGAGGGATGTTTCAGGGGACTATCTCTGCCTTTATTGCCTGGCTGTGAAGAATATTGATTTGAGGTCATTTTGCATAGTGATGTTATCCATCACCATAAACATCTGCAGAGCACAGAATAATCCCCCTCTGACCAGGAGGAATTCTGAGGTGCATCCCCTAATTCTGCTCCTTTTCCCGAGCCTACAAATAAGGGAGAATTCTGCTTTGTGGTTTAAAAATCTGGGTCTAATATCTGTGAAATGCCTGTATGGTTAAAATTCACTTTTATTATATTTGCATAGCAGAAGTGGAATTAATTTGACAGGTTCCACTGCTGCTGCTTTTAAATGTGGCAGAAAACTTCAAATTTCCTGCTCACTTTTATGCCAAGTACCCAGTGAAGTCAGGAACCGAAACTTGCACTTCAGTTATTGATTGATGGGATTTTTTTCCCCCTTTTCATTTTATATATTAACAAAAAAGAAATGCACAGGCATGGCCCATAAACCTCTGTTAATGGCCAAAAAAAAAAGGGAAATGTGTCAGGTAATGTACTCGGAGCACCTCATTCCATTTGGATATGCCTGGGACTTGTCTCCATTGGATTTTCATCATAAAACCCATGATTTTGGTTTTAAATTACTTGGAGGCTTCAGTTCAGGCTAGACACTTGGTGCCTTCGCTCTGTTGAGTATTTTGAAGAGAAAAGCTGATATTTCTGGAATTCTGGTGAAATGGTGCCTCCAGCTTCTCCTTTATTCTGAGCTGGAGGGGAGTTTTGGGGTGATTTTTCCTCTGCTGAATTCCGAGTTCTTCCCTTTATCCACCCTGGGAGTTCAAACTCCCACATCACGGACTAAAATATTATTTTAACAGGAAGAAAGATCTGCTGGTATCTCCAGCACAGACAGCTGCTCCCCCCAGGTACACAAGAATTCAGGGTATTTGTTGTGTGCACTGTTCTCTCTGCACAGATCCTTCTGTTGCAATTTTTGGGGAATTATTTTGGGGATGTCAGCTCGCAGGGAAGAAGAGCTGCCTTAATTGATGCAAAATTCTCTCCAAACCTATTGTTTACCACGGAGGAATACTCCTGCTTTGCGAGGATTTGACTCTTGTGTTGATTTTTGTTGGATTTTTGGTGAATTTTTGTTGATTTTTGTGGCGAAGACGACTGGGATTTCATGGAAACCCCTCGGCTTATAAAAATTGTGACAATAACAGCCTCAGTTTCTGATTCTGGATGCTCTAAGGGTCGTTTGGACAAGGTGACAGGGACGCCAGGGTCCGAGGGTGGGGCAGGAATTCCTCCCCAAAATTCCACTGCAGCATCTCCTCTGCAGGCCCAAAGCCATCGCCCTTGCCCTGTCACCTCTGCCCACGTCAGTGAAAATAAAAATATTTTCAAACCCTGCTTTGCCCTCTTCGGGAGTTTCTCTTTTGGGCCGAGCTCACGGAGATTTAATCTCCTAAATTTGGGTGATAATTGCTGCAAACTCGGCGCTCTTCATAATAAAAATGATATATAATATGTGGCAATCAGCGAATTATTGTCAGGATAAAAGGGGATTTCTTCCTGAGGTTTTTATCCCAAATACTCTTAGGGCAAGCTTGGCTTTCTGCTGCAAAAAATATATCTATATTTATAGATTTATAATATATCTATATATTAATAATATATCTACATATAACATGTATATAGTATATAGTATAGATTTATAATATATCTATATATAACATGTATATAGTATATATAAACACATATAAATATACATAACACATATAAAAATATATAGCATATAAATATATATAGCATATGTAAATATATATATAACATGTATATAGCATATATAAACATATATAGATATAACACATATAAACATATATAGCATATATAAATATATATAACACATGTAAACATAGAATATAAAAATACATAATTATATATAAAATAATATAGTATAATATATCGTGATAAAAATATATTATATAATATAATAATGTGATCATAATGATGCAATGATAATAAATAATAAAGTGATAATTAATGATATGTAATGATATATAATGATATATAATATGATATAATGTAATATATGATATGATATGATATATGATATGATATGATTGATATGATATGATATGATTGATATGATATGATATGATGTGATATGATATGATATGATATGATATGATATGATATGATATATAACGTAATATGATATAATATATAATATGACATAATATGATATGCTGTGATATAATATAATATAATGTAGTGTAATATAATGTAATGTCATATAATATATGTATTGTATTATATTATATTATATTATATTATATTATATTATATCATATTATGTGATATGATGTCATATGATGTCATATAATATAATATAACATAATATAATATAATGTAATGTAATGTAATATAATAATATAAAAATATATAATAATACAATTTATAGTAACACAATAATGCGTTAATAACTAATAACGATTCTACGATAATAAATAGTAGACTAGACTAGACTAGACTAGACTGGAATAGAATAGAATAGAATAGAATAGAATAGAATAGAATAGAATAGAATAGAATAGAATAGACTGGAATAGAATAGAATAGAATAGAATAGAACAGAATAGAATAGAATAGAATAGAATAGAATAGAATAGAATAGAATAGAATAGAATAGAATAGAATAGAATAGAATAGAATAGAATAGAATAGAATNGTGCCAGCCCAGCCTGGCAGGGCCCGCTAAGGCAGCCCTGCGGCAGGGAGCAGTGCCGGTGCTGTGACAATGGGCACGAGGCGCGGAGCGCAGCCGCCGCCGCTCGCTCCGCACAAAGCCGCGCTCCCCCCGCCGCCCGGCACTACTTGGCGCGGCGGAGGCCGCGGGCGGCGCAGGGATCGCGGCGCGCTGCGGCCGCGCCGGCACTCAGCGCGGCGGCGCCGGGACGCGCCGAGCGCACCGAGCGGCCACGCCGGGCTCGGCTCCCCGCGCCCTCCCGCCGCCCCGGGCCGCGGCCGGCCGGCCCGCCGGTGCCATGCTGCTGCCGCTCGCCGTGCTGCCCTGCGCCTTCGTCCTGCTGCGAGCCGCAGGTACGCGGGCCGCCGGCGCGCCGCGAACAATGGGGACGGGCGGACCCCCCGGCCGCGCGGGGCTCGGCGGGTGCGCGGCCGGCCGCGGGGGGCGGCTGCGGTCGGGGTGGGCTCCGCCGGGCTCCCCCCCCCCCCACCCCCGGGCCGCGGGGCGGTGCGCGGGGGGCGCAGACAATGGGCGCGGAGGGGATGCTGCCGGCGGCGGCGGTGTCGAGGATGCTCCCGCGGCCGCCGCCCTCCGCCCGCGGGGCGCGGACGCGGCCGGGGAGGGCGAGAGGGATGAGATCGCCGTGGAGAGGCTGGAATCATAAATTTAAGAAGAAGGAGGAGAGGGAGACGGAGAGGGGGAAAAAAAAAAAAAAAAAAAAAAAAAAAAAAGAAAAAGGAGGGGCGCGGGGCGCTGCCGTTGTGGAGCGGCCCCGGGCGCGAGCGCCGGTGCGGTGGCCCCGCCGTGGCCGCTCGGGAGCCGCCGGTGACCGCCCGGGTCGCCACCGCCCGGGTCCGGGAGCGGCAGGTGGGCTGGGAGCGGCAGGATGGAGCGGCCACACCTGCGCCGGCCCCGCCCCAGCCAGCATCCCTGCTCCGAGCCGCATCCCTGCTCCGAGCCGCATCCCTGCTCCGAGCCGCATCCCTGCTCCGAGCCGCATCCCTGTGCTGTCCATCCCTGTGCTGTCCATCTCTGCTGCGAGCTGCATCCCTGTTATCCATCCCTGTGCTGTCCATCTCTGCTGCGAGCTGCATCCCTGTTATCCATCCCTGTACTATCATCCCTGTGTTATCCATCCCTGTGCTGTCCATCCCTGCTCCGAGCTGCATCCCTGTGCTGTCCATCCCTGTGCTATCCATCCCTGTGCTATCCATCCCTGTGTTATCCATCCCTGTGCTGTCCATCCCTGCTCCGAGCTCCATCCCTGTGCTATCCATCCCTATGCTATCCATCCCTGTGCTATCCATCCCTGCTGCGAGCTCCATCCCTGTGTTATCCATCCCTGTACTATCATCCCTGTGTTGTCCATCCCTGTGCTATCCATCCCTGCTGCGAGCTGCATTCCTGTGCTGTCCATCCCTGTGTTATCCATCCCTGTGTTATCCATCCCTGTGTTATCCATCCCTGTGTTATCCATCCCTGTGCTGTCCATCCCTGTGCTGTCCATCCCTGTGTTATCCATCCCTGTGTTATCCATCCCTGTGCTGTCCATCCCTGTGCTGTCCATCCCTGTGCTGTCCATCCCTGCTCCGAGCTCCATCCCTGTGCTGTCCGTCCCTCCGTCCCTCTGTCCGTCTGTCTGTCCCCGGCGCTGTCCGTGCCGGCGCTCCCCGGGGAGCGCTCCGGAGCCGCGCTGGGCTCCCCCGGCGTTTCTCCGTGTCCCGTCCTGTCGTGTGCTCCTCACCCCGGTTCCCCGTCCCTCGGGAGCATCCCGGGCTGACCGTGCCATCGCCACCCCGCAGCTGGCACGGCGCTGGGCTGGCAGCGCTCCGGGCTTTTCCCGGTGCCGTGTCCGAGCCCCGGCGCTCCCTGGAGCTGTCCTTGCCCTGCTCCATCCCTTCCTCCGCACCGGCACCTCCCCGCGCCGAGCATCTTTATCCCCTTAAGCCATCCCGGCCGGGTGGGTGGCGGTGGCCGTGGCGGTGAGCGGTGCCACCAGTGTCCCCAGGGCTGCTGCCCAGCCCGAGCCACCTGTTTCACATCGATGCCCACCGAGCCGTGCCCGCCTCTCCCGCGGCACCGCGCCGCTGCTGAGCCCCTGCTTCATTAAAACAAGAGGAAGAGGAGCGCTAATGAGGGGTCTGCGCAGGGGCGGGGGTCGCGCTCCTTCCCAGCCGCTCGCTCCGCATCCCGCCCGGCCACACCCTGGCATGCCAGCCTGATGCCAGCCTGCTCCCTGCGATCGCAGTGCCACCGCCTCCCTGCCACCTCCACACCGCCGCTCTCGCCTGTGGGAGGGCACAGAAAGCGCCTTGCCTTTTTTTCTTTTTTTTTTTTGTTTTTTTTTGTTTTTTTTTT